CTTTTAGGTTCTTTAAAACGGCGGTTTAGGGTTTAAGGTTCAAGCAGAAATGCGGGGCGGTTCCTCAAAGGGGCTGCAGGAATACAGGTCAAGGATGGTCAAGTCGTCTCCTCGGCTAGGAACTTTGGGCACCCGCCGAGGCTACAAAGGGATGAGTCCTTAGTAAGGAGATGTAAGGAGTCCATCGAGCTCACGTAATTTTAAAAAAACTCAAAGCAGGGTGGAAGAAGTTACTAGTTCAAGGTGTCAAGGGCTTCAAGGTTGCCGTTGAGGCTTTCAGCTAGCAGGTTCAAAGTGGGCTTCTGAAGAAACATCTTAAGCTGCAGGCTTTTCAGTGTGATGGTGCCTTGTTTTGGGGGTTATGCTAACAGCCAAGACTGCGTTTACTGGAGCCCCACAGCACGAAAAGTGCACAAAAGCCGCAACTTCACAGCCAAAAAGTATAGGGATACTTCGGGAAGCGAGAAGTGTATGCGTACGATATACTCAATCGTATAAAGATCCTTGGGGTGGACCCTTCCAAATACCACATTGAGTACTGGTTTTGAGGAGCTTGAACCAGCTGAGATTGTGCGTATATATTTATATATGTATGCACATCTTGTCTTCTTCAAAAGTCTAGAACCTAAAGGAGAAGATATTCGCAACCTATGTTGGGGACTACGCATCCCTGTTGCAAACACTAATTTTGAGCGAGAACAATGTTGCTCCTGTTAGTTTACCCACGTGATTTTCATCCTAACCCTAAACCATAAACCCTAAACCCCAGTCGAGGAGATCAAACGGCCTTGTAGGCATCGGTGCCTTCAGCACACTTCCGATCCTGAGTCAGGCGAACCACGCTGCAAACACGTACCTGCACCTCCCTAACACCCAGAATATCTCAAAACAGTAGCCTATACCTGAACTTCAAAAGTAGGTAAAAGAATAGCCCCAAACCCCTAAAAAGAACCCAAAAAGGCATGATGTTACATACTTTTGGGGTTCAGGTATTCTCGAGTTTGCGGGTTTGAGGGCAATTCATTATGATGGGTATGAAGGAGGTCCAGGTACACCTGGGCCACTATTTGGACTGAAACCATTTGCAATTTCATAAGCCCGATGAACCCTGAGATCAAAGCCAAACATGGAACCTCACACAGAGCCTACCTACATACAAGGAGTTCCGCATTAGTGTTCGTGCTACGCATACATGATCCTGGTTTTTGGCCACTTGCATGACCATAGGCACCACTACGCAGAATCCCTAAACCCTAAATACCCAATTATATCCTAAACCCTAAACACAATAAACCCTAAACCCTAATCCAAGAGAAACGTCTCAAAACCCAACCATGAAGGGAAACGGCTTGACGTAGAAACGACCATCCTCGTACACTTTTAGGCTTTAAGGGCTTCCTCGTCATGCAAGTATCTCTACAAATTTGGCCCCCCAATGAAATAATACCTTACCCCTTATATCCAACACCCTCTCAATGGACCACAGTTCTGTGAAAGCCCCATGTGCGGCTGTTTTTAGGGCTTCTGAACAGCCCAAAACCGTGGCATTTTCATAAACATCGGGGGCGCAAAGCAGATAATATTCATGGGGCTCAGGGCCCGAAGTAAGCATTTCTTATATAGATGTATAAAGAGACTAAGAGGCCGCGGATATGCAACAACTGAGGTCCCGTCTTTTTCGGTATTCGCCTCTCTGGAGGTCTTATGCCAACCCTGGGCGCAGCTTGAGATCTCACCCGGGTCTCGGGTTTCTTTTCATCGGAATATTTGGGGTTCGCGGTGTAGGGACTTCCCAAAACTATGAGTATATGGGGATTATATAGGGGTAATGGAAAAGAAAATGGAAACCACGATAGTATATGAGCTACTGTCTAAACTC